ATATCGACAATATGATCCTGATAACTCACTTAACCGACAATATGATGCTGATAACACCATATACCGCCAATATGATCCTGATAACACTGTATACTGGATCCTGATAACACACTTAATCGACAATATGATCCTGATACCACTGCCGACAATATGATCCTGATAACACTGTATACCGACAGTATGATCCTGATAACACTGTATACCGACAATATGATCCTGATAACTCACTTAACCGACAATATGATGCTGATAACATCATATACCGCCAATATGATCCTGATAACACTGTATACTGACAATATGATCCAGATAACACTGTATACCGACAATATGATCCTGATAACACTGTATAACGACAATATGATCCTGATAACACTGTTTACCGACAATATGATGCTGATAACACCATATACCCACAATATGATCCTAATAACACTATATACTGACAATATGATCCTGATAACACTGTATACCGACATTATGATCCTTATAACACTGTTTACCGACAATATGATGCTGATAACACAATATATCGACAATATGATAACACTGCTTACCGACAATATTATCCTGATAACATACTTAACCGACAATATGATCCTGATAACATCAAATACCGACAATATGATCCTGATACCACTGTATTAACAGGATTATTTTGTCAGTATACAGTGTTATCAGGATCATATTGTCGGTATATGATGTTATCATCATCATATTGTCGGTATATGATGTTATCAGGATCATATTGTCGGTATAGGGTGTTATCAGGATCATATTGTCATTATGCTGTAATATACAGCTGTATAGTCTTATATGGTGATGTAAGGATGAGATTATAACCATATATAATCTTAATATAGTATTAGCATGATGAGATAGTCATTATGACATCGCCATTATAATGAACATATAATTTTTTTTATAGTGATGATATAGTGCTGCACGGATAATATAGTCATTATCATATCGTCATTATAATGTGCTTAAGATATAACCATTACATAATGCTATTCTCATATACTTTAATATGCGACCTTGTTAGATAAAGTAGGGATAAAACTTGGTCTGAAGTGCAAAAGATACGTACATCTACGCTTTGTGAATGTGTATATCATTTGTTAATGTGACCTGCCCATGCAGGTATTCCATATTGATTTAATTCCTCGATTCTCGGAATATGTCAGACAAGCGTGATTCGGAGAAACTTGTCATAACCGGAATCTATATGTGCACCAGCTGAATGTTTGCACAACTGACTGCACAAATACAGTGCAGTCGTCGGAGGCAGCCGAGCATCGACGTAATAATATACGGACAGCCGACATGCTTACCATATCATATCATCTTCCATGGAACTACATACTGTACGATAACGGCCCTTTCCTTTGACTAAAACGTCCATACACATACACATTCCACACACAAACACACATACACATACACATACACATTCACATACACACACACATACATATACACATTCGTCTGTAACATGCACCCGCTAAAGCGTCACAGCAAAATAGTGCTTTACGCTTTATAACAATATTAGTGATCTGTTCTATGTTTTATATATAGATTTCATGGTCTTTATCACTTTAACCCTTAGCCTTCCACACAAACACTATAGGTCGGCCGTTTTGTTCTGATTTATAAACAATTCTTGGACGTGTATGTAAACTAGGTCCTTCAACGAGGAAGGTCAACAACAAGGGATTCCTAGAGAGCTATAAACAGATTATCAGTCAGGCGGAACGACATACCACGAAAAACTCGAGACAGCACGGTTAGTTCAGGATATCATATGCAAATTTACGTTTGAAATAGAAGTTAGTCCAGTGGATGTATAAGGTACAATCAAATAAACAAACGCAGAATTGAAACTGATCAGAGTAAGCTCTATTTTCATACAGTTTAGTGTAAACAGAATATACAAATGGTGTTTTACTACTCAAAAATATATACTGAGATATACTGAGCAAGACGACCTTTCTCTGATAAATAAGAAAATGTCTAGAATGACGCGTAGATTTAAATGATTGAAAATAAAGATATCCTATAGTAGACAAAGCTTGACTTACACTAAAAATCAAAGCAACTTCAAAATTCGATTGTCTTAGGAATGTCGCTGTAGTTCTAGTTACGCTTAATAACGCTAACTTGCTATAACTAACACATATTAATGCTATCTCATCTACAAAAAAATATGTCACCAAGCATACCAGCGTGTGTATGAGTGAGGCTGGGAATCTAACAGGTAGGTTTTTGTCTATTTACCTTATACAGAATACAAAGGTAAAGCCATATAAACGTGACCTCAGAAGAGTATAATAAAAAAGAAGGTTAATGTGATCGATTTCTGTAAGCTAATAGGTTATTGTGACGAGTGGTATTTTTACTTCCACATTATGCAAGTCTGTTGGAACTACCACAATGTAACGACGGTTAAATATTATCGACTACAATATAATAATGGCTTTATTATTGATAATGGCTTTAAGACGGGTTATGCATTTTACGCTTTCGACTAGCAGTCCTTTATAATGTTTGCATCTATCGTTTCTTAAGCAGACTCATATAGCATATAGCATATAGTAAA